AATCACTATACAGATCATCAAAAGTTTTCTAGGTATCTATCCAACATGCTTTTTTTTTTATCCTCACCTGAGGACATTTTTTCCATTTTTTGTTCAGATAGAGTGGAAGGAGAGACAGAGAGAGAAACATCGACGTGAAAGGGACACATAGAGTGGCTGCCACCCGCACGACCCAACCAGAGCCGGAGACAAACTGCAACCGAGGTACATGCCCTTAGTGGGAACCAAACCCGGCTCTCTCTGGACCGCAGGCCAACGCTCTAACCGCTGAGCGAAACCGGCCAGGACTATCCAACATGCTTTAAAAATTATTTATTTTGGGCACTTACTATATTTTTTCTTTATATCTTAGGCTTTATTTTATTCTTGAATCTAAAAGTAGTTACACTAATAGTATTTTTAGAAGTTTCAAAGTGGCCTTTTTTATACTGTAGCTGTTTATGTTCAGAAACTTATGCATACTTGTTTCTGAAATAAAAATATTTTTCTTAAATTTTAATAGATTAGAAAGCTATAACTGGAACAAATTTTACTACAACTAAAGTTCTAGTAATAGCAAACACAAACCCTTACTTAGTATTTGATTTGTCCTCATCTATTATCACTCACAGAATCTTACAAAGTAGGAGCTAGTATTAGTCCATTTCACAGACTGGGAAACAGACTCCTGCCTTACTTATTATTCTGCCCCATAACAATCATCTAAAACACCACTGTGCAGTTAAGGAAAAGATAATCCATCCCTTTTTACTTAATGCCAATTCAAGGGTATTAAGATTTTAACAGGTACTTATTTCATTTTAAAATGTTTGTAAATGTCTCACTTTAAAAAATAATGATGCAAGTACCAAGTAAGTCCACTTTAGCTCTTCAGCATGGACTACTGCCTTCACACCTAACATTTTATTTGTCATGATTATGGTATATTAAAGTCTTGTTTTAGAGGCTACCAAGTTAAGCTTACTATTTCATTGATACTCTACTAAAAAAGGAAATGGAAACGCTGCAACATTTACTTCATATGCCACACTCCACTCCAAATTATACTGGTTAAGTTGTGAAAAGTACTGTATTATCTTTAATATAGAATGGGAATCCTTGATTCAAAAACATTTAAAGTGCTATATTATTTTTTGCTAAAACTTGTCTCCTAGGTTTTATACCTTAACTTTCACATTAATCAGCATGCTCTAAATAGATGCATGCTTAAGATACATACATAAGTAACTCCTACTCACAGTTCCTATTCATTCCTGGGTTTAAGATGACCAATAACGTATAAAACCTAATACTTAAACCATACTGGAAAAACATACTAATTATAGCATAAAGAGGTAGTCTACAATGTGGTTGGTATCTCAAAAATCTTCATCCTTGCAAGGAAAAATCATACTACAAACTAACAATGGCACTATCAAAAGCATTCATAAAATTTTAAAATCTGCATGATTTTTCTACATCTATTTTTTGTTTGGATAATAAACCTCCAAAAGGAAAGAGTTAAACTCTTAGAGACAATGTATTGCTATTTCTAGTTCAAATCAGATTTTCAGATCAGAAAAATTATTAATTCACTTATTTCATGAATGATATAACTGGGTCCCACAGAAATTCCATGACTTGCCGGAGGTAACCTGCAGGTTAACTGCTGGCAGGAGTAAGATCACAACCCACATCTCCGGCTCCCAATCATTTCACTTAAAGAAAAGTTTCTAATAAAGTGAAAGCATTTAAAGAAAAGCAAGTACAAGTACAAAAAAATAAAAGTAGTTATATAATTTTAACAGATTTGCAAAACATGAATCCAGTTTTGAGAAAGAAAAAAAAATGCCTTGTAAGCAAAAAATGTGATTAGTGTCCCAAGTCTAATAAAAATGCTTAAAAATTCTGCTTCAAGATCTCTCATTAGTGTACAATCACCACTAATTAAAGTAACAACTTTAGAAAGGGAAACTAATTTCACTATGCAGATTAAAAAATAAACATATAATTGTCCAAAAATTAGTTGTTTTCTTAGTCTATAAAAAGTTTGTCTCCTAAGCCTGACTCCATTTAGAAAATAATTCTGATAAAAGCTTTCAAAAATGCCCTTTTGCTTTAAAATGACCTCATATTTTTAAAAAATGTATTACTGATTAGACATATAACATGGAGCCAAAAAAACCCCTTTAATTTCCTATAAAAAAATGTTTTAGATCTTAAGGTAGATAGTAATAATCACAATGAAGTTTTATGAATCACAGGTGTAATAAATGCATCAATTTTTTTTTTAATCTGTCAACTTTTAAAACTACTCATAAAATTCCACTTTCCTCTTGGTCAAAACTCAGTCACTGTGATTTTATCTGCAGGCTGACTGCAGATACTAATCTATGCCTATTTTTAAGCTCATAAATACAAACATTACTTCCCATCCCAAATAGCTGTAATTTAAGATTTTTCTGGAAATTTAAATCTGACCTATGTCTTCCATTGAAAATATTACTTTATTTATTAGTAACGTAGCAACAAATTTCCAGGTAGAGGTAGTCACTACAGAAACCACAAAAAAATAGTTATTATTTTGGTTTCACTAACCAAATCTTCAAACCAATATTAAATAAAAGCAATTTGATAGGAAACAAAGTTAAACATGTTTAAGTCATAAGAATAAATTAAGACAATAGAAGATACTATACAAAGTTTTGCATGTGTTCACCTAGACATAAAATTCAAAATCCTAGTATTAAACAAAAAATGTGCTCAGATACCTGGTGTTCCAAAATGTTTTTAGAGCTAATTAAATCTTAATTAAAAAGTCGAAGGTAAAATGAATATACACACACCTAGATATAGTTTGATGGATATGAAAGCACCCTGAATGATGCTTTGTATCCAGTAGATACAGAGTGAGCAACATGCTGAATGAATAAAAAGAGAAAATGAGCCAGGGAATTCTGAATTCTAATGAGAAATTTAACTGTCTCATGAGTATGCCAACATGACTGTTCTGGTATAAGGCTGAAAACACTCCAAGAGAGACCCACTTCCATGTGAAATAGGCAGACTTTGATAAATAACACACCGTTGAAGACATTGTTTATTGTGTGCTAAGTCTTAAGAAAGAGCCAGGAATATAAATTCATTTTACTAATATTTGAGAGACAAGAAACCCTCCCCCCAAATTGAATTCAGTAAAAGTCAACACTGGTACCTTTTTTGTTACTGGAGAAAATAATATGATACTCCTATGACAATAAGACTCTCATTATTTGGCCACATACCATTAGCCACTTGAGTTTAAAAATATAAATATAGCATTGCCAATTGTCTCCAAGAAAACACAGCACTCTTTAATAACTTGGGGTTTGTGGGTTTTTACAAGATGCAAATATGAGTTTTGTAAAATTTGTTCAATTCTTAAACATAGAAAATTATAATTTTTATATTTTTCAAGTAATAAGGAAGACATGGAAATCCACTTGAGATTTTGTCAATTATTTACAACCTAAAAATTTAAATATTGCAGTTAATGAATTTGAGCTGGCTTCAAACTATTTATTTTAGCCAAGTATTGAACGAAACGAGCCTAAATCACTACTTGAAAACTGTTAAGTCTCCATTAGATTTACTAAACCTAAGATACAAGTACCCTTGCTTATTTCAAAAGCTATAACCACGAATCAACAATTTATATTAACTCGGTAAGAGATTTAGACGCATGTTAAATGTCTTACATCCAAATGAAACAAAAGCAATTAAATCAAAATCATGTCATGCCTTCACCTTAAACAATACATTCAATTCAAGCTACCTTTGAAACCTCCTAATGTTTCAGAAACCCTCATTAAGTAACAGTCATTAATAACTACATCACAACATCATCTGCAAACATGTCTCTTAAAATCAATGCACTGCGTGGATTTCAAAGGTTTGATTTGCCCCGTGAGCGCTTTAACTGCCCAACACACACACACACACCCATATTGGTACAACCTAACTCAACATGGAAAATATAACTCCCAGATACAAACACCTTACTTTTCGCATTCACAGGACTAACGTGATAGGTCTACACACACATAAGTCAATTTCTACAAAAACTACTAAACATTCATCTTGAAAACCCACAAAATTAAGCAGTAGGCATTATTTTTAAGCTTTTTAACCAAAATATATCCCAAGACAAACTGGAAAACTTTTACTTCCCAAGTTCCATCCTAAGTAAATACCTGGATAAAAATCGAAACGCTTCAGTGGCCTCCAAGAACAGTTTTTAATTGAGCAAGGGGCCTAACGCGAGCATTAGCAAAATCAGAAAAAGCCTGTGAAACTTCTGGCTTTAGGATATTACAGGCTTTACACTTCTGCGCACGTTTTGGTAAACGCCAGGTATTTTGCTGGCCAGCTATCATCACACAGCTGAACCCCTCCAACAACAACAAAAAAAAACAACCTAGCTCTCGATTTAAAGAAAGCAACAAGAAACGTGCGAGGAAAAAGAAGAAAAATAAATAACGTCTTGCCCCGGTTCCGCTGCTGCTGAACAGCCTGCTTGTGAAATGCTAATGCCACTTCGGAGCGTTAGTCACCAGCTATTGTGTGCGGCTGGAGAAAGCCGAGCCGACGCGCGAGCAGCGCGAGCGAGCGCGCCCTCTTCCCTCGCGCCGCTCCCGCCGCCGCCGCCGCCGCCGCCTCGCGCGCCCCCGCGCCCGCACGGACGCGCGCGCCGGCCCCTCCTCCTCCGGCCTTGCACTGCACAACACTCATGACGTATCTTTATTTCTAGCACATTAACAAAATATCACAAATAAATTGTCGGCAGCCCCTACGGCCCCGGGGTGCAGGTCCCCCCGGCCACTGCCCTCACAGCCCCCGCGCCGACCTCCCAACGCTCTCCCTGGCCTTTGGAGCTTTCACGTTCTGGGGCCAAGTTTTTGTCTCTGTAAAAAATTGCGGGAAATTCAATTTTTATTCGACTCGGGGAAAAGTTTCTTTGCTCCGCGACGTGAATGTCTCACCAGATTCTGGTAGGTCCTGGGATGCTCCTTCCCGGTCCAGTCGGTGCGCCGAGGCAGCAGCTGCGGGGAGAGGACGTCCCGTGAGCCGGGCCCCCGGCCCCAGCCCGCCCGCGCCCCTCCCCCGCCCGTCCCGCGCCCCGGCGGGGACCCCAAGCCCCGCGCCCCACGCCCCAGAGGCGGCGGCAGCGGTGGCGCCGCGGCCCAAGGGCGGCCGCGCGGCAGCAGGACGCGGCGGGCCGCCGCCGCCCTTACCTCTTTTTCGGCCACCTCGCGGATCAGCACCTGCAACAACAAAGCGGGGAGAGCTGAGCCCCGCGCCCCGGGCCGCGGCCCCGCCGCCGCCGCCGCCCTCCCCCACGCCCGCGAGCGGCGAACGCCGGCCCGGCCCGCGCCGCGCGCCGCCGTACCTGAGCCGCCTGCTGACAGGGTCCATCTTCCAGGAACCGGGCGATGAGGAAGTAGAGCTCTGCGCGGGAGAAAGGGACGGGGAGAGACACAGGCTGAGCGGCCCGGCGGCGGGGGGCGGAGGACCGCGAGCGGAATCGCCCGGTGCCAGCGGCCCCGGGAGCCCCTCGACTTACCCGATCGCAGCTCCGAGAGGCCTTTCCTCTCACAAGACATGTTTATGGGTCACTTCAGGGCCGCTGGCGGGACACCCCGCCGCCGAGGGGAAGCGGGGATGGTGCCGCCGCCTGCCCTATAGCTGTCACTGTGTGTTCACGAGCCGAACCTCGGCTCCACCATTCAAGCAACGGCGGCGGAGGCGGAGGAGGAGGAGGAGGAAACAACAACTCTCAGGCAGCCGCTACGGCCGCCGCCGCCTCCGCCGCGGATCCCTCCGCCGCAGAAAAGAGTCCGACGCCTTCAAGGCTCTGGGCTCGGCCCGCGCCCCCGCCCCCCGGAGAGAAAAAGGAGTGCCTCGCACCCGGCGCCCCCAGCGCCCCGCACCCGGCGCGGCGAGACCCCCCCACCGCTCCTCCCTGGCCCCAGGTGCGATTTATTTATTTATTTCGCGTTGGAGAAGATGTCGGAGCCGGAGCTGCGGGTTGGTTGGGAGGCGCTTTCTCTGTGGAGGCCGATCGCGGGAGGGAGGGGGCTGGAGACCGCTCCGCGGAGGGATCTGACGCACACGGAGCCGCAGCACAGCTCTATTCAGTGGCGCTGGCTGGGGCTGAGATGGAAGTTAGTTTCTATGTAGCAAAAATAGGAAACAAATGAAGCAAAACTGCCCAAAGAGGGGAAATGCCCCGAGGATGGGTCTCACTCTCACGCACGCACACAGACTCACACGCGGAGAGCACTCTCACGCTAGGCAAAGTCGGCATCGCGCTACCCTGCCCGAGTTGAATGATAGTGTTTGGTTTCTGTCTCTTGCCATGTGCATGTGTATAAATGCTGCGGATTGGCATCTGTGTAAGTCTTGCCCTGCGTTATTTCTGCAGCCTATGCAAAGTGTTGTGTAATTTATTGGAGTGCTTTATATTGCAGTAGAGGTTCGGGCTCTTTTTGTTAAGCACTTGCGTTTGTTAGCCCGTTATTTGCTGAAGCCACCTATGCATATATTTTATATTACTGCCATTTCCTTAAGCGTACGTTTTAAAAATGCTTTATTGTCATATGGGCAAAACGAACTACTGATCTGTACTTCAAGATACTCTTTTCCTGATTACAAAAAGGCTAGTGACAGATAATTAGGGATTTGGGATTAAAGAACCTTAAAGCTTTTTTTAAGTGTTTACCAGAAGGAATAATGTAAACATGAAAGAAAGAAAAGAACACTAATATTTATCCTAACTGATCTGGAGGTGGTTTAGTGACAGATCAATAACCTCCGAAGGATATTGAAACAGTATACTACACTTTACCAGGGGTGATTAGTGATTAAATAATTTAAATTATCTGTGTATCTTGTAGTTGACTTCGTCATGCTAATTAATGGCTTCTAATTTGAGGTGTAAACCATTCCTGTTTACAGTTAATCACGGGAAGACTTCTTGAAAACTGACCAAAAAAAGAAAAAATAATAATCTTTCGTAAATTAGTATGTAATTACCGGTTTTATATGCTAAATCATACATCTGCGTTTTGTGAGAGGATAAGGGCCTTGTTTGTTAAAAAACGAATATGGGTGAAATTAATGGAAACAATGGAAAAAGCCATTTGTTATAAAACAAGGACACTAAGTGATATTTATCTCCAGATGATTTAAACACTTTTCAAAAAGCTTGAGAGTTGATTTTTTTTTTTAAGGGTTGAATTTTAAAGGGAATTAGGAGAGTCGTTCTTTTGTTAACATTTAACAAAAGATTCTCCTTAAAATGTTGAGATAGTAAACTGCATTTTATGGATCTGGGCTAAAAAGGTTATTTGTGGGGGAAAGGACCAACAAGCTGTATTGTGGTTTTCTAGATTGTTTCCTCAAGCCTTGTACCCGCCTAGCTCCTTAACATTCCTAGTGGGAAATACTTGCTGCAACTGCCTTGGGCTGCACTGCAAGACTGCACCAGTGTGATGCCCTATACGAAAACATCCAGAAATCATCATACATGTGATGAAGAAGAAAAAAAGCCTAAACCTCCTCGGAATAATACGATGCAAAAATTGCCTTTTATAACTATCTTAACCAAATAAAAAGGAGAAGTTACCACGAGTTGTCCCATTGCAGCTTAATTATCAGAGAAACTTATTTTTTGAACTGGCTAGCCTTCAAATATTGAAAATATTTGCATTTTTAAAGACAGTAATTCCATTCTGACTATTACAGGTAAAGTAGCTTGCTTCTAGATGGTTAGATGTGAAAAGACAGACATTTAATGTTTTTAAGCAGTTTTATTTATTTCTATGACTGATGCCTTCTAGTTTATCTTTTCTTTTTAAAAAGTATCATATTCAAATAATTGTAATATTTTATGTTATGATGTTCTTCAAATAAACATTTTAAGAACTAAGGATTATAGTTAGGATCTTGTGGTTTTGAAATGTTTGTATTAGCCTAATTCTTACTAATAGATGTTTTATCCTTACAAAGGAAAATAAACCAAATTATGACATGGAATATAAAATTACCCTGGGTAAAGTTTTTCATATATACCTTGTGACTGTTATGTAAACATGGAAAGCTGGTATGATTATCTCATGTATGTTTTTTATTTAGAAATTACAAAAGCTTTTCCTAAGTATGATACTATACTTAGCTCCTCAATTTTTTAAGGAAAATTTCCCTTCAAAGTTTTCTGAATATGATGTTCCTGTCATTTTGACTAACCTTGGACAATATTTATAGTTTCTTTTCAAAGACCTAATTTGAAGATGGCTGTCACCCTGCCTTTGAACTAATTTATAACTGTCAGTGTGTTTTAAGAAAATATATATTAACTGCTAAAAATTAAAATTTCTCTTTAGCCAAATAAACCATTTGTTTTTAACAGTGGGTATTAAATTAAATTTTACTTGGTTTTTAAAATGTAATAAATATTCCTTATAAATTTTAATTTCTTTAAACATAAAACATTTCTGAATCTGGCATCGTCTGTTAATTATAGGATTCATTAAATCATTTATTGTGCATGTATACACAAAAAGTCTGTACATATTCAATAGAAAGAAAATCTTACCTTAAAGTCCTATATTTTAGATCCCAAGGTGATGTTACTTTCAGTTCTTTTCTCAGCCTTCTCTTTTGCATGTCAGGATAGTTCAGATTCATCTACATCCCTTTCTATTTGTTTATTTTAACTTTTTCTTGGACTTCAAAAATGGTGTCAATTTAAAAAGGTTTTTCATGCCTTTTATATAAGAAGGCTAACAAAAATAGTAAAAGTTTGGGAAGTCAACAATTACTGTTTTTAATATAGTCTCTTTAGGAGAATTACAAACTTTTCTTGAAATGTGAAATTTCAAGAACATTTTCTGTGAAATTCACTTTTTTTCACTTGGCATCACATGAAACAAGATAAATATTTAACAAAAAGTTTGTCTTGATTGTGATAAGTTATTGTTCTAATGAAATAATCAACTGCTGCCATTTGAGTTCTTTCTGGAACAGAATAGGATAGTATTTATAAATAAAAGGATTTCACCACATTCATGAAATTAAATTTGGTTTGTCTCCACTAGTATGAAATATACATAGCTCAAAGAAATCTCTGCAAAAACTTGTAAATTATATATCAAATCTCGTTTTTAATTTGATATTGTTTTTTATAGAAATAGAAAAGTAGAAAACACTCTTCAAGAAATACCTCCTTTTTTAATAGTCAACTGTCCTGACAACAAAATACAGCTGTCAAAGAATTTTGTATAATACACCACACTCCCCCTTCTGGATTGCTCCCCAATATTGTATGTTTCTGCCCAAGTCTCTTTGACTTTCTTTCAACACACCTTTTCTTCTCCCTTAAAAGCTTGAATATATATCAAATTTGAAATATGAACAGATACACTATTTGGCTGCTACAGAAAGAATAGTCAACTTTAGTAAACCAAGTTGTTATTTAACAATTTGTATTGTCTCCCTTATATCTCACAGAGAAAGCTTTCCACTTAAATTAGAGCACACTTCCTTTTAACCTAACAAAAATTAGCTGGTTACCAGCAATCAGACAATTCCTTACTTATTTAAATGTTATTAGTAATTTACCACTAAACTTTTTTTCCTCCAAATTAAATACTCCTTGTAATTTAGATTTTTTTAAATGTAAGATTTAGTTTGCACAAGAAAGCCATATCTTCATGGACTTATTTATATGTTTTATGTTTAACATCACTTCATGATCTAACCGTACAATTACAAAGATTAATGTAGAAAAACTATTTTAGAATATATTTCCCCAAGATTTGTAGCAACACAGTGGACGAAGCTGTTCCATATAGCAGGAAACTTAAAGGAGAAGTCTGTAGGCATATTGTATCATATGAAGATGTCTGATCGAAAGTGGGTTGAACTGAACAGAGAACAGTGGAAGAAGAGAAGATAGTCTAGGGGGGAAGGGATGCAGAGTCTTTGAAAGTTGCTAGTGATGGTGTATTAAACAAAGCATGCTATTATCAATGTGATTTTAAGATGGAATTTGATGACAGGAGTTATGTAGTCACTTGCCTTTACATGCACCCAAATTCATAAACTAAGAACCCCAAAGAAGAAAAATAATTTTACTCATGGGAAGGAAAGGGGGAAGTTATCTGACAAGCTAGTGAGGAATCTCTACATAATAAAAACACCCAGAATCAAGGACACCAAAGTAGACACTGTTGTTGGGGAAGGAGAATGGTTGTTTAAAAGAATAAGATCTGACCACCAGAGTGCCCACAAGTCTGACTTGAAACTGAAATATGAGAGTAAGACATATATGAAAGTAAGAGCCAACTCAAAATTGAGAATAAAGCCAATTTAGATTTAAACTGATTTTGTAATTAAAAAATGGTATTTCTATTTTCTGAATTTCTATAGGAAGGCCTGTCTAATTTACTACCTCATTTTATAAGTTGCATATATTTTTTTTCTATTTATATACTTGATAAAGATCTTCTTGACTTATGCCTCTGTACTTTATTCCCTTTGATGGGTGTAGTCATGTGTATTTGTTGAAACAGTGGTTGCCTGACTACCCTAAAGAATAAGTTCTATTATAAAATTTTAAATAATGTTGATAGGAAGTAGATCTTTCAACTGAGGTGTATATGTTCAAAATTTAAGAAAAGCTTCTAGTTTGGTTTTGAGGTTACACCTGCAAATCCCATTGCATTCTTTATTTTCATGCTTACATTTGAGTGCAGAAATATGTAGATGTGGATGAAATGGTTACAGTGGATTTTTTGTTGTTGTTAATCCTCA